CAGAAACTCCCCCAGCCTCCCCCGCCAGAGGTTTGGAGCCACTTCCTTCCTCCAAAGCAGTTTTAACCCAAGCAGGACCATGGGGAGGGCTGCGTACCAGGGGGTTCCTGTTTGGGGTGAAGACAGCATGGGCGCTGCAGATCTTGATGGGATGAGGCATTCAGGAGGGAAACTGGGTTTCATAAAGCGACCTGGTACCTCCCTGTGAAGGATGCTCAAAAGTTATCCCTCGCTCATGAAAATATGGAGGTTTGAGAGTCGTGGCAGGTAGATTTTGGGAGAAGTGCTCAGCTGCCTGGATGCACGTTTAGCTGCCTTTATTAAAAGCTGCTTGCTCACCTGCAAAAGCAGAGGGGAGATTTAGATTAGATATTGGGAAGAAGTTGTTCCTTGTGAGGGTGCTGAGGCGCTGGCACAGGGTGCCCAGAGAAGCTGTGGCTGCCCCATCCCTGGCAGTGTTCAAGGCCAGGTTGGACACAGGGGCTTGGAGCAACCTGCTCTAGTGGAAGGTGTCCCTGCCCATGGCACGAGGGGCAGAACTGGATGAGCTTTAAGGTCTCTTCCAACTCAAACCATTCTGTGAATCTGTGAAAAATGGAATTGGGATTTTGGTTTGGATTCTAAGAGTGTTTTGTGGCAAGGGAAAAACAGCATTTTCTGAAGAGGCTGAGGGGAGCTTTGCTGCTTTGTACAAGGCAGCAAACTCTGGGCTAGCAGCGGTGTGGATATTTCTAATTGCTGCGTTATCAGGGAGTAGGTGCACGGTGGTGGACAGCAGATGCACAGTAAATACAAAGCAGTGCTGGGATTGTTTGGTTTTATCCATCACCCTCTCATTGAGAGCTGTGAGGTGGATGCACTCATTTGATTACAACTGTGTTGCTCTGTGAGAAAGAGTCCAAGCCCTGTCCTGGCTGCTCTGAGCATCGCAGGAAACGGTGGTCTTGATGAACATGTTGAGTTTTGCCTCTTCACCGTCTGGCTGCCCTTTAATGCTCGCTTGGGTTAGTTAGTGTCATCAACCACTTGCTGCTGAAGGTGCTGTTTCCTCTGTGTTGCTGCAGAGAACCTCCAGGACAACCACTTCCCAAATTTAGCTGGTTCAGGCATATACCTTATGCAAGGCAGGATGAGGCTGGGATGAGGAGCATCTCCCTCACTCTCTTCGGCAGTGGTGGGTTGTGTAGAGGTGGCCTTAATGCAGGGTAGGGAGCATATGAGGCATATACAGCCTTTCCTATACGGTCCCCGCTCAGCTCATTCCATGCAGACAAATCTCTCTCCAATCCTACAAAAATCCCCACCTGAGACATGGTGACTTCTGGCTGCCTTTAGAAAAGACTGAAGATAAGAAGGGGAAACCAAAGAAGCAAATTGAGGAGGTGGCCTCACAGCATAACCAAAAAAATACAGTAATACCTGGAGGGGCTCAATTCTACCCCTGCCTGCAGCAGTTCTGTGGGAGCTCTGGCTCTGCTGCTGCCCTGCAAGACAGGAGCATGCCTGTTGCTTCCTTTCCCATACCAGAATCTTGTTTCAGAGCAAACAAACAGTGAGCATCTTGTGAGGATTATTCAGAGGCACATTTCTCCTCCCTGTACAAACTTCTGCTTTCTCTGGCTGCCTGCAAAATGCTCAGTGTGAACATTAAAGCTTTGCCATCCCCAGTGCTCGTCGCTGCTTCCTGAGCCAAGGAAACCTGGTTACTGCCCTGCAGGAGAGCTGCAGGTGGCATTGCTGGAGGTTCAAGTTTTCGTGTTTTCCAGGAGATGTAAGCTTCATAAGGTGATGTTTCTGTCTCTGCACACTGCATAGTGGTGGGCACACTGTGAGTGCTCCCAGTTGATGTGGTGGAGGCGATGCTGTGGGGGCTGCAGCTACAGTGTGGAACTGGTGTTCACTTGGAGGGAACTTGGCTATGACCTCATTCAAGTCACTCATCCCTCCAGGTCCACTGGGTGTGGTGTAATGTGGGCGATGGCGGAAGGACACGAGTCCTGCCGTGGACGTGCAGCGTGTCCTTCACCTTCAGGGATGGAGGGATGTTCCGCTCAAGGTGGTTCATCCTACACGTTTCATGCTCTACCTGCTGTGGCTGCTAGAAACTGTGACTCTTTGCCTGTTGAACTGAGATGTCCTTGTGGTGATGGTGGGAAGGTGGAGGTAACCCAGCCAAGGGCATAATGGTAATGGTGATGGCGTGGAGGGTGGTGAGTCTGAGGACAGAGCTGAGCTGGATGATAAGTACATCGTTCTGGGTTTGATGTGCAGTTGCAGGGAGAAAAGCTTAGAGGTGGAAGCGCTCACCAAATGAGATGGAACCAGTCTTCCGTGCCCTTGGAAAGCTGAAGGACCCACCACAGGGTGAGGGGTGAAACTCTGCCCGTGTTCAGATGTTTCCATGGTCAGTGTGATGCCTGAGAGAAGACCTTCCCTCCACATAATCTCTGTGAGATGTCCCAAGGTGGATGGGGAGGTTGTATGCCTGGAGGTTCAAATTTGGCCTCCGCAGTGGTCCATAGTGGGTGGCTGTAGGTGTGTGCCTTGGCTTCCCCATCCATCAGGTGGAGCAGAGAGGCAGTTTATCTTTGGAAATAGGTCTGTCAGGAGGTTTCATTTATCTTGGGCTGTAGAACATTTTATGTGGGCTTTAGAAAACAATCTGCTACCTCTCTATAAGGAAAGGTGAAGGGATGCAGAGGTTGCCCCCGAAGCTGCTAGTGGTCCTCTGGCCCACATGAAGCAAGGGCAGGTGTGGAGATGGGACAAGCATTGCTTGATCCTTGAGTGGATGGAGGAAACATTCCTATCAGGCCTTCTAGAAAAGAAGATTAAGAGAGTCCTGGCAAACTGTGTTGTGGCTGGGCACCGTGCAGGCATTGCTTGCCACACTGGAGATGCTCTGGGGTCATTTCTCAGACCCACAAGTCTGGGTTATGGCCCCTCCAGCAGGTTAGGAGGCTTCATCTGGAGATGATGTCTTGTTTCCAGCTTTTCACACCTCTGGATGTCAGCCAGGTAGTCGGATAGATGTAAAACCTTCATTGTTTGCTGCTGTCATCACATCCATGATACAGCCGCCCATCCCTGCAGCATCATGGCCACAGCTGGCTTCATGTGTTTGTTTCATGCCCAGTGCCAGCTTGTGACGAGGTTTGGATGTAAAGTCCAGGTCCTGGTTGTGCTGTACCACTCCAGGATGAAGCAACTTTGCTTTCCCAGCCAGTGAGGTTTGCAAGAGCCAGAATTGTATCTCTGTAAGCCAGCTTGAGGCCAGGTGATGTGCTTTTTCCATTACCACCCCAAGCTCTGCCCGTGGTCTCCATCTCCCTCGGCAGAGTGCTTCTTGCGTCTCCTCCTCCACAAGCAGAGCACAGCATGTGGGATTCCTTTTTTTTTAAGTGGAAAATAATAATAATACTCCCCAAACATCATGAAAACAAACCATGGAGTTTGCTGTGCCCCAACCGGGGCTCCAGGAAGGTGGGCAGCCTGTGCCTGCAGAGCAGAGCCACCGGCTGGTTGCGCAATGCTCATGAGGGCAGGATGGGAGTGCTTGGCAAAGCCCCTGTGTCCCCCCAACAGCTACGCCCAATAAGACATGAAGCAATATTTCCAGCAGGGTTTTTACTAGCCTGCAGCTCAGAAGCATTCTTGAGTGAAATGCAGCTCATCTCCATCGATGGGCACAGGATTTTTATGGGCTGATTGCATATAAGGCTGGGTGCTTGTGAAGCATTGGAGGGGTGGCTTAGGGGCCATTGGAGAGGTAAAAAATCTCAGGTGATCTGCTGCCAGTGGTGGGTTGGATGGGATGAAGGCATGTTTGGTGTTAGAATCACAGAATAGTTATACTTGGAAAGGACCTTAATATTATCTCGTTCCATGGGCAGGTCCACCTCACTCTAGACCATGTTGCCCAAGGCTCTGTCCAACCTAGCCTTGAACACTGCCAGTGATGGAGCATTCACAACTTCTTTGGGCACCCCGTTCCAGCACCTCACCCCCCTCACTGTAAAGAACTTCTTCCTTCTATCTAACCTAAAGTTCCCCTGTTTAAGTTTGAAGCCATTACCCTTTGTCCTACCACTGCAGTCCCTGATGAAGAGATGTTGGATGTCTGCACCAGATTTTGCTGTGGGCCCTACTCAAAGGTTCATTGGTCTTGGAGATGCTGCTTGGGGGCATCCTGCAGATGTTCTGCCCCATCCCCACAAATTCTCCTGCTTCACTGCTGGGGAGGCTCATTCCCTTGAATTAAAAGCAATAATGAAGACTGAACAGCACAGCCCTGGTTTGCAGGGAGCTGATGTCTCATTTCAGGCTTTTTTTTTCTCTCTGTGGGCCAGCCTGTGATGCTGGACATGCAGCTGGGATCTTATGTGTGGCCAGCACAAGGTTCAGCTCTTCTGTGCTTTTCCCCTGCCCCGTGGGACCCTGCAGGTCTGCACCTGCACAGTCTCTGAAGGGGTCCGGCCTCACTGGTCCAGTGGCTCCTGTTATTAGAGGAGTCTCCACAAAGATGCAGGAATAAATCCGTGTGGATTGTGATGAGTTTGCTTGAGTGCTGCCATTTCTAGGTGTGGCAGGCTCCCAGTGTGGCTGCCTGGAGTGGATGGGAATGAGTTGAATTAACACAAATACCCTGCTGGGTTGGGCTCCTGGTGTTCTCTGAGCAGCAGGTCACATGCGATGATGGTCCGTCCTGGAGGGGGTGCAGGGAGCTTCCCCAGTCAGGCTGGCTGGTGCTTTTTCCAGGTGTCTCTCTCTTTTATACATCCCTGTCTCCTTCCCAAATCCCATGTCCCTATTAACAGCCTTGCTGAAAGACCTTTCTGTGACCAAAGCCAGTGCCTACATATCTCCCTGGAAAATTTGCCTACATATCTCCCTGGAAAATTTGCCTTTCCCAGTGTGATTGGAAAGGGGAGTAAATGGTGGCAGAGGAATGGATTCAACAATTGATTTACTTCTTTTTCTCTTCTGTGTGTCTTTGACAGGTGACAGCCAAGACTGCCTTCCTGTTTATCTTACCTCAGTACAATGTTAGCGTGCCTACAGCAGGTAAGGGATGCTTCTGCTGTGGATGCCCCAAGGGGAGGTCAGTTTGTCGTCAGCCCCAAACCATCGTGGCCAGCTGGCCTGGGCTCACTCTCTACTGATGCACATGGCTTGGGCCCCTGTGTGGTAGTAAAGGAGATCTTAAAAGTAAGGTATGTGGAGGAAAAGCAAAGTTTGCATGGCTCGGAGCACAGTGTGTCTGCCAGCACTCGTGCTGCCAGGGTTGGGAAGAAATACTTTCCAGATGGTTTTAGGGCTTCCTCTCCAGCCTGTTCTTGCCATGGTCAGGCTGCTCTGTGCGTTCTGCAGAGTGAGGATCCTCCTCCAAGCCTGGTCAGGCAAGACCAAATTGCCTGATTGCATGCCCAGAGTAGCTCTGTGCCCTGCCAAGGAGCAGGAGGGATTTGGTTTTTAGGGGTGTGCAGATAATGCTGTTATCTATTGGGGATTGCGCAAGGTGAGGGTGTGGAGATGTGCGTGTGCACAGCATCACTGCTGTAGGCAGATTATGGTCCTGATGCATATGGGGAGTAATTGAAGGAGGCTCCAAGCTGGCTCAGGTCTGAGCCCAGTGGACCATAGGATGTGCCCCAGCTCCCAGCCAGCAGTCAGCTGGAGGCTCTGTCCCTGTTTGTGTTTTGGCTGCTAGTAGCTACCTTCCTAGCCAAGAGCCCCTCCGGGCACCGGTGTGGGGCAGCAGGAGGTGGTTTGGGTAAAGCTCACGATGAGCCAAATGCCCGGGGCACAGAGCCTGGCTTGGTGGCAGAAGCTGCAGTTAATTAGGAGTGTTTGAGTAATCATCCAGGGTGAGAGCGGGGCTCTTGGGATTAGCGCAACTAACTGAGGCAGACACGCGGAAGATAAAAGGTCTGCCCTTAAAGTCTGTGAACATTATGGTTGAAGAAATCATCCAGCTTCTAGATTAAATTGTGGTCTGTGCTGCCCTGTGGCATGGTCCAGACAACTTCCTCTGCTGTTGAATTAAGTGATTTATTCTTTCCTGATACCATAAATCTCAAGGGGGCATATAACCATCTCACCAGAACCAGTACTGAGGTATCAGTACGGGGCATGAGCTAGATGAGGCTGTGGGGAGAGGGGCCTTGGTGCAGCAAGCTCACTCAGAGGAAGGTTGCTGCTCACCTGATCTTTTCCAAGGCTGTTTCATATCCCTCACAACAAGGTTGCTGTTGCCTGTCAGCCAGCAGATCTTGCTATTGTCTCCCATTCTCAGTGCACTCAGAGCTCCTGCTAGAACAGCTGCTGAAATGCCCTAGAAAGAGGCGGCAGAGCTGTTGCACATGTGTGTAGTATTATTTTCCTTAGACTTGCAATTCTGTCTTTTATCTTGCACTGGGGTTATGAGCTCTGTGATGCCAGCAGCAAGTTTACCTCTGGGTTTGCACAGCACCCAGCTGTGGGGCTCCTAAGGACAGGGTGTTTTCACATACTTACACCTGGTATTTACATAAATCCTATTAAAATCTCATTCATGTATCTCAAATCTTAGAAGTCTGGACGAAAGCTTTGTTTGAGGGTAAACAGGGCAAGACAGAGAGTGGCTTCCCAGCACTGATATTTTGGAGAGGATGGACAGGATCAGGGTCAGGGAGAGCAGCAGCCCAGGTTGGGCTGAGCTTCACATCGTGATGCTTTCTGCGGCATGACATGAGCACAGCAGCTTTCCCGACTCTGCTTCTTCCCCACAAGCTGCAGGGCTGTGAGTAGTTGCCTAAATGCAGATACTTTGGGTGTTGTTGGGTCTCCTGTTGCCCCAGAAGAGCAGAGCCTCCTGTGGGGCCTATTTCATAGAATCATAGAATTTCTTATCTGCCAGCCCCATGCCACTGTCTGAGATCTCTTAATAGCACAAGGCATCTGCATGTGGGCAGCTGAGTCCTGCCGCAGCAGCTTTCAGGGGTGAGTAGGAGAAACTGGGTGTTGAATGATACCGAAGGGGTGGAAATCCCATCCTGGTCCCTAATGCTCCCACATTTTGGTCTCTTTGCAGATGGGGAGCTCATCCAGTATCACTATGGGCTGAAGGATGTGGTCACCATCCTCTTCTACTTCTTCATTGCCATCATCCTGCATGCGGTGGTGCAGGAGTACATCCTGGACGTGAGTGCTATTTGACATCTCGTGTCACCAAAGTATCTCAAGTACCATGGAGGGGATGTGGTCCTGCTGCAGCTAAATGCTGTTCGGGGGGTGGTCTGGGGGCTGAGGCGATGAGTGAGCCTTCGTCTCTGATGCTTGGGGCTGCTTGCGATGGGGAGGAGAATGGAAGATTGTTGACCTGGCGGTTCATGTTTTCTTGTTCCTTTTCTCTCCCTCTGCTTCTTCCCAGAAAATCAACAGGCGTCTCCATCTCTCCAAGATTAAACACAGCAAGTTCAATGAATCAGGACAGATGGTTGCCTTCCACCTCACCTCTGTGATTTGGTGCTTGTACGTCGTGGTAACGGTAAGGCATGGGGCTGTCTGGGTTTTGCATTCCCTGGGTGGGATGTGTGGTTTCTGAAGCACAAATGCCAGCAGAGTCCCCAGTTAGCCCCTGGGGCAAGATGGGCACGTGTCAGCAAGCTCATCTTTCATTTGTGATGGGTCTTGCCAGCCACTGAGTGAGGGCAGTTTGGAGAGATCCTTTTCCTGCTGGTGCAAGTCACAAGCAAATGGGTTGTAAAGTATTTTTGGAGCTGAACCCCAGTAATCCTGGCTGGCCCCATCATCTCCATCGCTGCTCTGGGACCTGCCATCTTTCTCAGCCTCTTACTTTCCTCCTTTTTTGTGCTCAGTGCCTTGGGGGTTTTGTGCCTTTTGCAGGGTTGCGGAGCTTATGGGCAGCACTGGGGGTGGATGCTTGGCAGCAGGTCCCCTTCCCATTGCTGAGGGTGTCCTGCCAGCCGCCTTTAGAGGACAGCTACTCCCTTTCTGGGGGTCTGCTGGCATTGCTTCTGCCCCTAGGGCAGTGGGAAGGGAAAAACAGTCAATGCTGCTGGTTTTGGGCTGCCTTCACCCAGTGCCAGACCCATCCCTCACCAGCTGCGGGGCTGTGGCCTCCTGTGCAAACCCGCATTGCCATGATGTGCTCCCCAAATGCTCTGTGTGTGCAGAGCCGGTCACCTTTGCAGCACTTGGCACTTCCTTTGCCCTCAACTGAATGAAGGGCTGAGGGCAGACAGGGCAGGGATGATGCTGACAGGTAGGTGCTGGCCAGGATGAATTTCCCATGCCAGCATCTCTTTAAAAGGGCCAGTGCAGCAACCCTGTGGCAGCATGGAACATGTGCATGGAACAGAAGGGAGCTCTATCCTGTAATCTGTCCTGCAAGCATAAGGCAAGAGACCGTAGGCAAATTCTGGCAGGTGGAAAATAAAGCTATGCAAGGCATATTAATTTTTTTTGTAGGTGTTTTCTGTTCCCCTTTTTCTTCAGAAGTACTTCTTCTTGCTTAAGTGATACTCGGGTTGGAAATGCCAGTGGGGAAGAAGTTCCCCCGGACCATGCATGTGGTTGCTTGGAGCCGTGCTACAGGCATCTGGCCCCTACACCTCCAGAGCATCCCTCTCATATTGACCAAACCCCAAAACATCCTATCCTGAACTTGGGACACATGAATGTCCACAAACCCTCCAGGGAGACCTGATAGCAGCCTTCCAGTACCTAAAGAGAGCCTACAGGAAATCTGAAGAGGGGCTTTTGACAATGGACTGTGGGGACAGGACAAGGGGGAATGGATTTAAACTGACAGAGGGGAGATTGAGATGAGATCTGAGGAAGAAATTCTTCCCTGTGAGGGTGGTGAGGCCCTGGCACAGGTTGCCCAGAGAAGCTGTGGCTGCCCCATCTCTGGCAGTGTTCAAGGCCAGGTTGGACACAGGGGCTTGGAGCAACCTGGTCCAGTGGAAGGTGTCCCTGCCCGTGGCAGGGGGTTGGAACTGGGTGAGCTTTAAGGTCCCTTCCAACCCAAACCATCCTGTGATTCCGTGAATGTCACTGAGGTTTGGAGAGCTCAGCCTTGGCTCTCGCAGGGGATATGATTTTTACTGCAGGCTGAGATGACTTGGGTGTCATCCCCAGTTCCTAGTTTTGCTGTAGCAGGAGCCCTCCCTATTGTAACCATGCGCTGCCTGCTGCTTCTGCTGAAGGCTTGCATCTTTCTCTTTTTCAGGAAGGATACATATCAAACCCCCGGAGCTTGTGGGAAAACTACCCGCATGTTTATCTTCCGTAAGCACTTGCAAGGGCATTTTGTTCTCAGGCTGACCACTTCCTTCCTCTATACGGTTTTCCCCATGGCTGGGAGCGGGGTGCTGACAGCATGGTGCCTTTTGCACACACCCTGCTGCAAGGATGTTGCAGTGAGATCATGGGAGAGAGATGGGGAATACCTTGTTTATGGCCCCGGGGAGGGTGTTCCCAGAAGGTTTCCTCCATGAGGAAGGTCCTGTGGACTTGGTTACTCATCCTGGCTGCTTCCTGGCTGCATCACCTTGGGCAAGTCTCTTTGCTGTTCATTTTTTATAGTAGAAATGAAGTGGGGGATAATCATCCCTTCTTGGGTTTCTGCAAGAGAGAAGCTTGCTGAGAGCATGGAGACCACAGTACGAGCATCTGGGTAAACTCCAGGCGTGGCTAGCTTAGCTCAGCTTATGGTTTCAGCCCAGACATGATGATTCCTAAATCCCACGGCTTCAAAGTGGTGGAGGGATTGCCCAGCACCTCCCCTGGCACCCGGGTCCTTGAGGTCCTGCCATGGCCCAGACTGGCTCATGCAGCTCATCCCTGTGTTTCAGGTTCCAGGTGAAGTTCTTCTACCTGTGTCAGCTGGCGTATTGGCTGCATGCCCTGCCAGAACTCTACTTCCAAAAAGTCCGCAAGGTGAGAGCCAGGCGGGGATACTCGAGGTGGTTTGCCCACTGCATCTGGAGAAAGCGAGCTTTGGGAGTGGGCTGGTGAAGCAGGGCGAGAGGGTAACGTGGCTTTCTGCCCCTGACAGGAGGAGATCCCCCGCCAGCTGCGGTGCATCACGCTCTACTTGGTGCACATCGCCGGCGCGTACCTCTTCAAGTGAGTCCACTGCTTCAGCATCCTGCCCCGTGCTGTGGATGGGGCTGAGCAAGGTCCTTTTGTACCCAGGAAGCCTCGGCGGGGTGGGGGGCTTAAAGGGAATAAAGATGAGTGTTTATAAAGCAGAATGTACTGAAGTCTCCCTCCTTACTGTGGGCTGTTAATCAAACAGTTTTCACAGCCCCAGAGAGCTGAATTTGAAAGAGTTCAGTGATGTTCTGTGAGTGCACAGGCAGTCTCTGTTTGTTGCAAAGCAAGTGTTAATCAGGGACCCAAAGCACAGGCTGATGGGTGCATCTCCTCTGGGTGCGGAAAGCACCCTGGGGTGCTCTCCCAGCATGGCCCAGGCAGCAAGCTCTTGCCCTTCCTCTGAATGTGTGCACAGAGCAGCATTGCCAGCAGTTAGGGTTTTGTGTTGGATCTATCTCAGCTCTGCTGCTGGCTTGGGATCCTTGGATGTTTTGAAGACAGGGATTTCCCCCATTGCAGTCCTACCGCCAGTACTGCAGAAAGGCCTGGCTTTGGGCTAGCACAGCAGCTCGGGGATGGCAGGGGAGATGCTGTAGCTGAAGGACTGAGGTTGACCAGCCCAGTGATGGTCTTTCTTTCTCTTCTCTCCTAGCTTAACCCGCTTGGGGCTGATCCTGTTGCTGTTGCAGTATTTAGCCGAATTGTTCCTCCATGTGTCCCGGCTGATCTACTTCACAGATGAGAGCAACGAGAAGGTGTAAGCAGGCGAGCTGGCCATGGCTTCCATCCTCCGGTGCCCAGGAGAGCCGTCAGTGTGACGGGGGCCTCACTGTCACCTCCAGCTCAGTGCTGGAGGCTGCTCCTGCCAACACCTCTGCTTGCCCTCCTGCAGGTTTAACTACTGGGCTGTCGTGTTTGTGGTCACCAAGCTCTTCACCCTCACCTTGTACATCCTGGTCATTGGCTTCGGGCTGCCACGGGTGGAGAACCAGGCCCTTGACCCCGAGAAAGGGAACTTATTCAGCTTTCTCTTCAACAATATCCTTTTCAGGTAGGAATGTCCCCTACTGTATCTTTGTTGATTGTTGTTATCCCAAGATGGTTTTTGCTGAGTTTGGGGATGCCAGTGGGGACCTTATCTCAGTTCTCTTTAGGGAAGGTCCTAGCAAGCAGGTAGGGTGTGGAGGGAGCAAGGAGGGATTAAAAGCTATAGAGCCCCAATGGAGGGGAAAAGCCAGCAGATAAGTTGTACATTGAGTTAAGTTATAAAGCACAAGCCTGTATTAGGGAAGGCTTTGCAGGCTTTCCCTTCTGCACCTATAACTTTGCTTACATGGATGTGGTTAACGAAAAGGTGTTTTCTCTTTTCTGTCTGTTGATGTGGAAGCAGAAGATGGGATGGCTTCCTCATGGCTTGCAGTGTGTTGCTTGTCTGTTAAGACTGGGAACCTTTCTCACCCATACAGCATCCATAGGTTTGGTTCAGAAGTTGCTAGGATGGGTGCCTGGTCATTCGCAAGATTTTGAAACCACGGACTGTTGGTGCACCTGAGGATTTAGGGACTTTCTTACCTCCCTTCCAACCACATCCACCTTTTACTTGTACAGAGCAGGTGGGGATGTCTTTGACCATGCGGTGTTTTGGGCAGTGCTGGTTGAGATGATCCTGTTCATACATTTTTGCCCTGAAGTCTTAACAGTGAGCAGTGTCCTGAGCACCTGAGTACTTTATGGTGGGGAGGGAAACAGAAGTTGCTGCCCTGAGCTCAGGGGATGGCAGAAAGAAGAGATGAGTGCTGGAGTGATGGCACCTGCCTCTTGTGCTTGATGCAGCCATCCATGGGAACCTCAGCCGCTAGCCCTGGTGTGTGTGGAAGGCTGGGCTGGTGGTGGTCTCGCTTCTCTGTTCTCAGCCTGCCTCTTCTCCCCCCCTACCAGAATGAGTGTGCTGCTGTTGGTGTGCCTCTTCCAGGCCTCAGTGATGTGGCGCTTCATCCACTTCCAGCTGCGGCGCTGGAGGGTGTACTGGAACGAGCAGAGCAGTCGGAAGCGAGCCACTGGCACCAACAGGCAAACCAGGCCATTCAGGAGGGACTGGGGTGAGTGCTGGCACTGGTGTACCATGGGCTGGCTCCATGGGAGGCATCAGTCCTGTGGTTCAGCATCCCCTCAGCAGGCCGCTGCCCATGCAGGCAATGCTGCAGCGGTGCCTCCTGCTCTGCACAGAGCTTGGGGGTCCCCAGCAGTGCTGTGGCGTGGTGGGGCCTTTCCCCTTGCCTGTGGGCCAGCCTCAAGAGGGTTAAAGTTTTGACCTGTGCAAGAGACACGAGTTTTCTCTCTCCATCCCCAGGTTACTATGAAAATGGAGTGGTGAAAGTGGAGAATGGCATCTCACCACGAACCAGGAAGGTGAAGTTTCCATAGAAGCAAGGGTTTGTCTCCTGGGGAGGAGGGCGAGATACTGGGACTAAGCAGCAGCACCTCCTCCCCATCCTCATGAGTGTCATCTTGAATGGCTTGGAAACTGGTCATCTTCCCAAGGTGTCTCTCACTCTCCTCCCTTCCTTTCTTGCTCTCTTGAACCATTTGCAATAAAACCAAAAAGATGCCTTTCCCCTGCTCTATTCCCCTCGTAGGAACCTTTTCCAGCTCCAGCCCCCGCCCCGGTTTTGCCTTTCTCTGTTTCATTGTAAATCAGCGTGCAATTTTTTTTCTTTTCTATGTTAGTGTTTGGTTATTTTGGATTATTGTTACAAATGCATCGTAGATGGTTCCAAACAATCCTTTTTTCTTCTACAGCATATTCCTCCCCTCTCTTCATGGTGCTTCCCTGAGTCCCTGGGACAGGGCCACAGCAGTTTGAAGGCACCACATGTCTGTTATGGAAACAGGCTCCTGGGGGAATGTGCTGGGGTTCTGTAACCCCGAGGATCAGGGCCCCTCTCAGGTGAGGGTTGTGTCTCCTGGGGCATGTCTGGCCAGCGCTTGGCAAGTGCCACAGGATGTTGATGCTGCAAATAGAGACCAGGGTCCAAGGGAGGAACCTCAGCCATGTCTTATCTCATGGTTGGACCTCTGGTTAAGTGGGGTTTTCTGACCCCTGGTTTTGAGCTAATTTTGGAGAGCTAGGCAGCAGAAAAGGGAGAGAATTTCCCTCTTTATATAGAAGGCCCACCTCCCAGCCTTTGCTTGCCCCAGCTTTTCTGGTACAGCTGGGTCTCTCTTACCCTCTTGGCTGTAGAAGGTGAACTGCCCTGACGTTGTTCTGGACTTCCCAGCCCTAAGAGCTGGGCTCGGGGCTCTGCACTTCGCAGAGTGCCTTGTCATGGGGCAGCAGCATCCTTGAGTCCTGCCCCACTCTGAGCGCTGGGTCTGGCTCCTGTCAGCCCAAGCCCTTTGCCAGCTTGTGTGTGCCTTGTGGACCTGGTGTTCTCATGGCTCATGACCGTGTCCAGATGACAAACTGGCTTCTGCAAAGGGTATTTGCATCAATGGGACTGTGCCTCTCATGCTGTCACCTTAGCCTTCCTCATCCCTACCGTACCAGTCCAGCTATATCATCAGCAGCCACCAGCTTCACTCTTTGTTTCCAAAGGATACAGAGCTTTGTATCCACCCAAAGGTGCTATCAAATGCAGGGTTTCTTCCAAAAAAACCTAGCCCACCTCATCCCTTTCTGAGCTGTGAATGAGATGACAGGGAAGGGGCAGGAAGCTGGGGCTGCAAGGAGCAGCTTGCATATTAGGAAAAGCCTGACTTGTGATGCATAGCTGTTGGCAGATGGAGTTGTCTCAAATCTACCTCAGAGGCCATCTGTTGCTGCAGACCACTTTCCCCTCTTGCTCCTGCCTGCTGCTGCACCTCTACATGCTGGCAGGAGATTTCATGGGAACCCCAGGTCCCACTGGCTCAGTCCCCTGATGCCTCTTTGCTGGGAAGCAGCATCTCCTGCCCGGCGTTTTGTGCGTCAGTGCCATGTCGTTGATCTTCTTTGGGGTGCCATGCACCGGTCTAGCTTTGTCAGGTGTGCAGCAGACGGGCACCTCTCACCCCATGGCTCTCCTCTGGGGCGGTTTGTGTAGCTGGGCTTTGCTGTTGGTGCCTCTTGTGCAGTGAAGCCGGCTGTAGCTTTAGTTTTGCTTCGCCGTGGCAGGAACAGGCAAGTGATTTGCTCCTTTGGCTGGGCGAGAAAAGGGCACAGAGTTGCAGGGAGCTGAGGTGCTCTCTGATGCGCAATCCAGGACCAAGGTCCACCTTTCTTGCAGGTGAGGGAGGTGTGTGATCCTTAGCGTGCTCCTTGCTCGGCCCTTTGGGCTGCTGAACTCTGGCTCTCTCTGAGTGCAATGCTATCTTGAGGCTGGCGCAGTTGTCCTTCACATCGTTTGTGTTTTGAGGAACGTGTGACAGTTTATTTTCTGCTCTTCTGTGAGCTGAGTCAGATTTCTTTTTTCCCTCTTTTGGTAGGTTTCTTTTGTCCTTTGCTCCTCCTCTCCTTGTTGAGCCCCAGGTAATGCTGGGCACTGGAGGGAGAAAATGTGCAGGGACATGAGGGCAGTTGGTCAAATTCCCCAGTTCCTCCATCCCTACGACTTGTGAGTGTCAAATGAGAGGTACTAGCAGGAGGGGGATCCCCCCTTTTTCAGGGGAGCCGACTTTGGACCAGAGCCCTTGGTGGTGTCTTGCAATTGCTCCTCATAGCCCTTGCTGGGTTGATAATACACATTTTGGTTCAGAGGCAGTGGCGACCCATGGTGCAATGCGATCAGAGGGGGAGAAGAGCTTTATGTTAGGGAGGACATGGAAGATCCCAAGTGTGAGAGGTTTTTTATTTCTGCTGCCTCTTCCCATCGCTAGCCACCCACTGCCACGTGCCCTTTGAGAGCAACTGCTGCTCAGCATCTCTCCAGAGCCTCAGCCAGTCTTTTCTGCAAAGCTGGTGCCTCGCCGCAGCTGAGGTATTGCCCCTGTCAGCAGGTGATACATACAGCCCCCCAAAAACTGGCTGCTGAATGATTCCTCCTCCTGCCTGCTTTGCTTCAGGCAGCTTTTACACTTGCACAGTCCTGCGTCTTCATACAGTAGCTAATCACGCTTTGTATCCCAAGTGCCTTATGTTGCCACGTAGTCTCTCGTACGCTTGATCTGTGTAGTAGGTCAGTAGCTGAATGCCCTTCTTCTTTACAACGTATGTACAATGTATGCTACATTTATGTGGGTTTTGTTTTCTTTTTGATAGAGCTATCAGTAAAAGGGACAGTTTGTTTTGGAAGCATTTCCGTATGTTCTTTTTTCATTATTTTTAAGCCTACAGATGATGGGGCTTTTTTGCCCTCCCCTATATTTAGTCCTTGGAAATCCCCATCCTTCTGTTGTACCCAAACATGGCAGGTTTGGTTGGGGTTTTTTTGTGCTGAGCCTTTGATGTAAGGCAAAAAGCACTCTCATCCCAGCAGTTTGCAGTCCACCTGCCAGTTGGAGGGGCTGCCATGGGCTGCTTCTGTCTCTGTGTTCTAGTGCAAGCACCATCCCTCAGCTGCAAGCCTGCAGTAATTGCTTCTACGTCCATGTTGTTTCTCAGCAGACTGAGCCTCGTCTCCAGCCCAAAGAGCTCTTCTCTCCCAGAGCGTTTTCATTGCAAGCCCTTGGTGGTCAGTCTTCCCTTGACCACTCTGCATACAAAGATGCCATGAGCTCACTTTCCTTGAGTGGATGCTCTTTTAATGCCCCATCTTGTCAAGCCCTGTGTCTCATGTAAACAAGATCCAACCCCCAAGAGGAGTCCTTTTCCACCACAGCGCAGAAAGTGCTGAGAGACTACACAAAACTGCAAGACTTCCCGTGTAAGGCTATTGCTTGTACCCTTCCTGAGGGCATGAGGCTGCTTTTGTAGTCTGTGTTGATATCCAACCTAAGAAGGTTGGGGATTGAGTAGTCTTGTGATTTTTGGTGTGAAGCATAGTGATTTCCTGCTCTAGCCTAGAAGAGTTGTGAAATACCAGCGGTAGTTCTATCTTTTTGTCTTAGATAGTTGGGGAACGGGCTTGGGAAGAGAACGGGGCAGAGGGAGACAGATGTAGCATTTCACGTGTAATTCTTAAGTGACTCATGTTATGGGGCATTACAGTTGCGTTAATTTTTGTTTGTTTAGGATTCTTTCTTCTTACTTATCGTGTTTGGATTAGTATAAGGACATCAAGTTCCAGTTCCCCTGCAGGTCACCTTACCCTTAACTCACGATTTTAAAATGTGGTTTTGTTAGGCTTTCTATTTGGAGGGAAGAACAGCTACTCTAGGATGCCTCCTCCTTGCCTCTAAGTGACTCTTGAAGTCTGTAGCTACCCTGCAGTGCATGGGGTTTACAGCAGCCTCAGTCTCTTGCCTTAGATAAAGTCTTAGTAGATGGACCCCACTTGTGTCGACAGTAGATGGAGATTATGGGCTTTGGTTTTTGGTAAACTTTGTATGATAGATGGTTGGTTTGGTAGGTTTTACACTCAGACACTGAAGTAAGATACTTTGCCTTGGGGCTGTGTGGGGGGTTTTGCTGGCAGCAGGGAAGACTGGCTGTTGTGAAAGTCAGGCCAAGGCATGCAGTTTTTCTTCGAGTATGTTGAACTCAATGGACCAAACTTCAGCAAAGGAACTCGAAGAAAAATTGTTCTTCTGTATTTATACATTAGTACAAATTTCCTGATTTTGGAGGGGGTTGGGGGAAGTAACAGTCTCTGATATTTTATCCCATTTGTTTCATTCTTCCTGCCACTTAAGTTTTTGTACGGATTTTGTTTGTTTGTTGTTGTTGTTTGTTGTTAAATGACTTTTGTGATAAACTCAACAGAAGTATTTTTCTGAAATAAAGAAATAAAAGGCCTAGATTCTTCCACTGCTGCTGTCCACTGATGCTTTATCACTCTGCCAAGCTCTGTGTGCTGCCAAGCAGGCTGCGAGGGGTTCTACTTTGTCCCTCTCCTGCCCTACCAGACTAGTCTGTTCCCTTTGCTGCAGTGCCTTGTGTCCCCATATTATCCACAGCTGGGCTTCATCTTCTCACATTGCCCTTGTCTACAGCATAGGCAGCTGCTTCTGAGTTAGTTATCCGTGGCTGCCTTCACCATTGGGAGTGGAGGATGAGGGCATTTGTAGGATGTGATTTATCTGATGTGGTTTAGGTGCATACTTTATGGTGAGCTAAACTGTATACTTTCTGCAGTTGCCCCCAGGCATACTACATGATTTGGCTGAGTATTAGGTTACGGTTTCATAGCAGAAAGCAGTTTCTGACTTTCTTTCCTACAGCTCCAGTAACTTCATCTGTAAGTTCTTGGCCACTGGAAAAGCTGATTTGGGTGTCCCTTAGAAGTTAGCCTTTGTCAGCTGCTGTTTGGAAGGCGCTTCATTCAACACCAAGCCATGCTTTGAAATCTGAGGTGGACCAGAGAGAGCTGGAGTTATTCTCAGCTGGAGTGAGCAGCAGCACAAAAAAGGCCCAGAAGGGAAGAGTGGTGACCTTTCTGAACAAGGGGTGAAAGGAGGGAGCTGTCATGTGAGGGCTCTCAGCTGCTTGAGGGGAAGTGGGAATCCACAGTAGGAAAGATGATTTAAATAAGCATTTTGTTTCGGAGCTTTGTTCTCTGCTGTGTGCATGATGGGTGCCTTTCACATGTGCTCAGTGGTAGTACCTGGTAGGTGTCATTTGGGGTGAGAAGGTCCCTGCCACGTTTATCTTCACGGAGAGATGAGCAGTATGACTTGAAGTGGAGCACAAGTGTCATAACTCTATTGCTATGCCAACTGCTTGTTTTCCCTTTTCATTGAACCTGTCTGGTAAGATGACAAGTTGCATAAAATGGGTTTAGATAGTATCTCAGTACTAAAATTATTTTCCCAACCTTTTGTTAAAAAATGCAAAGCTGCCATCAGCAGATTTGTGTACAGACCCCTGCTATCTCCATAGCTGTGTAAGAGCTAAACTCACAACTTCAAATAAAACCAGAATCACACTTTGTGGTTTTTTTCTCCACCACCACTCCCAAATTTTAATCCTTAGCTATTCCAGCTATTGAGGTACTTCTATTTAAAGCAGATACATTAACACATTCAGACCAGCAAGTGTGAGTTTATCGTGGACCATGGCAGGGCTCTTGTATTTTCTTGCAATGTAAATAACAATTTAAACTGGCAGTCTTCACTGCTTGAAGGTGAAAGGCCCCTTTTGATTCTTTATGGGAAAGAGAAATCTGGAGTGGTTATCACTCCAGGCTTTAAAAAGCTCTAGCAAGCCTTGCTGTACTGCATTACAAAGTTCAACAGGAGTACCTGGCTTTGGTTCTTCAAATTTTTTTTTCTCCTGTGAGTTTCATTTCAATATCCAGTAGTTGTGAGGTTGAGTTTGGTGGTGACTAAAATGGCAGGAGAGAGATTAAGAAGGGAAAAAAAGTTAACAAAGTGAGGATGAAATTAGCTGGATCTAGTGAGGATGGAAGGAGGAGAGTGAGTGAAGTAAAGGTGAAGACTAGAGCATCCTTTTTGAAGTAAAATGTCTTAAGTCAGTAAGAATTTTATTGCTGGTGTTGTTCTTCAGCTTCTGGGCAGAGATCATGAAGGGAAGGCTCTAAGGAAGTCACGGTAGTTTATCTGGTTTTCTCCACAAGAACACTGGTCAATCAGCTGGGGAAAAAAAAAAACCAAAACCAAAACCAACATAACACCACCATAAAGAGTTGGAAGAAGCTGCAAAGCTGCATATCTGTTTTTTTTTTAGGGGAAACTGCCCAGAGGTACTCCTTGTGTGACAGAGCAGACCTTATTCCCCTCTGTGGAAGAGCCTTAATAGTCCTGAATCATAGGTAACCTTGAATGTTTATAAATGACAGTAATCTATGCAAGGAAAAGAGTTGATGTGTTTGAGTTCAATCCTGATTCCTTTCTGAGTATCACCACAGTGACAGTAGATCCACAAAAAAATAAAGTGTGGCCACAGACTGACATAGGCCACAGCAAATCTTTCAGAAACCCCATAGAAATCTCCACCAAAAGCGGGATGGGGGCAGCATATCTGAACAGTTACTCTTCACTGGTGTCACTTCGGTGTGTGCACATGGCATAAAGTGGAGACACAGATAATTGAGCTCAGCAACAGACCTACTAATGAGCCAGTTCTGGTATCCATGCCTGACCCTGCACTGTGTTACAGCACTATAGCCTTTGTGTGCTTAAGGGGAAGAAAGAGGGCTTTTGTTTCTTTAATTGCATAACTAATCTCCTTCTGACACTCAGGGAGATGGAAAAGGTCTAATATCACAGTTCCTCAAAAGGATTCTTCTTCCCCTTGTCGCCTGGAGACAGATTTACTAGGGTTGCTCTTGTGTGACTGGCAGCTGTGCTCCTCCCCAATCCAGACAGTAAGCTATCTATCTGCTCTATGTTTAATTTACACCACCGCCATGCTGCTGAGGGCTCTGGGCACACTCTTACTAAGATTTCAAGAGAGAAGAGGGATGCTTTTAGTGTACAGGTCCTAGATGGGGATTCAAACAATTGTCCTCCAGCCACATGCATATCACTTCATCTCTCATCCTCGGAGCTGAAGCAGAAAGGGCTGTCACCATATTGTAAATTCCTCAGGGCAGAGTGGTCTCTGATGAGCTCTAGCACAGCAACGCCCTGGGTTCTCATCAAAGGCCTTCGTTCAGTGCCCATTCAGAGACATAAATGCCTGTGCACCTTTCTAACCACAGCTGTGATGCTCATGCTTGGCTGGTTTAGAAAATTATTATTATATTTTAGCAAGGGAAATACTCTCTCTGGTTTCTAGATTTCTTTAAAGTCTGAGTCTGCTTTTATTGGCCACTAATCTACTGCATGTCACATTATGCTTAGAAAGCATCCTTGCCAGGCATATTCCCGGAAGAATCCTTCATCCCTGCTGTGTGAATTTTCTTCTTCAGTTTCCCCTCACATTTTCTATTATGCAGGCTGTGATCTGCACGTATGTATTGTGACTATAGTGCCCAGCAAGTCTATGTTTTAGTTGTGTTAACCAAGTGGCTATGATTTAAATTTTAGTTCTCAAATCTTCAATTCAGTTGCTGTTAAATCTAGAATGCATCTAATCTTTCCTCAGGCTCATTACCTAAGCACCTCAGTGTCACCCCTACTCAATCCCAGGTGTGCTTAAGTCATGACAGACACTCAGTAGCTCTGCAGTAGCCTATGCCTGGTCTCTATCATGATATACAACCTCTTCTGCTCATCTCTGAGACCTGAGCCAACAGGCACCACACAACAAACACTAGGCTGCTCATTTGGGGGGCAATCTGGATATAATTTCTTCCCTTTACTTAGAGGACAGCAATTATTATGTCCTCCTTTGAGACCCAGGCTCATCCAACAGCTCGGAGGCCTTTCTGAGTTGGTACTCTCTTGCCCTTTTCTTGAAGCTGCTCCCCTTTGTAGGGTAGAGCAGCTGGTGCTCACCTGGCCAGGGCTGGTTTGCAGAAGAGCATTTTTGGAAGAGCTATAAGAAGGGAATTCAATATGCACAGCACCTCTTCCTTCTGACCTTGTTAAGAGTGGTGTTGGTCGGCACACTCAAGCTGTCACAAAGGGATAACAATTTTGCTTTGTCCAGGATGCCAGAGCCATCCTTGTCACACTGAAGAAATGCCTCCTGAATGTTCTTGTTGTTCAAGTGCTTATGGGGCTTCAGATCTTCCTGAACACGCACAATTAATTCATCCAGTTCCTGCTTGCTGGTCCCAAGCTTGGGGATGTCACTGTAGAAGAGAGGAAGAAGAGGACTTCATGCAAAAGCTACTTCTGGCAGCCTTACTGTAACACTTTTGTGTGCCAACTGCCCATCACAGCTGGCCAGGCTGTATTTCTGAATACACAGCAGGCTTCTGGGGTGCTTGTTTTTTAATGCAAGCTCACCTCAGCTTGGCCTTGGAGATGAAGCTCAGTCTTGATCTTGGAGCATTGAGTAAGCTGTTTTCCCTTTGCAGGACATTTTCCCCATGCACCTTTTGCCTACAGGTGCTCTGGGAGCACAGGCATTTTCTTGTGTGCTTCATACAGCTCCAGGAACTGTATGCCACTCTAGTTTCAACCGGAGTCCCTGAACTACCATGATACTAACTGACCCCCAAAGTGTGCTGTGAGGTAATAGGGTCGTTACTGGGTCACCCAAAACGGGTCCTGACAGCTGAAAAAGAGGCTCTGCTGGGCTGATAAGCACAGCCAGAGCAAATGAAAAAGACTTCACCAGCTCTCCACTGAGCTTACAAGCATCTACTGAGTCATGCAGATACTGTCAGCAGCATCTGTTACGGTTAACTACTGCCTTTTGGGAAAAGATGACTCTGCCCATTTAGCTATATCTCTGCTGCTGAGTCAGAGCTGTCCCTCAAGGTTTTTTGGGTCAGTAGCAGCCACGACATTATATCACACAGACCTGACCCTCCCTGTATGTGTCCAGACACAGGCTCTTGGAGCTGAATAATCAGCTGCGCAGCCATTGGACAACAGGCTAGAGCTGAACTCAGGACAAGCCCGTAGAGGCTGCTGGAAATGCCCTTAGCTGTGAAACATAAGTCTTACTTAGCTCCACACCACCATCCTTTGAAGCTTACCTGTTGTCAGTCTCCTTTACCACCTGCTTTGGGTGAAAATGATCCCTCAGGGATTGCAGTGTTGCCGCAGGGAAACTCTCTGCATTGCTCTCCATATAATTAAGCACATATTCATCAGCGTCAGTGATAACAAACCTGTGGCCAAATACTGGGGAAGAGGAATTAAAAAAAGCAGTGTTAACTTGCCTTTCAGCATGGGTAAGTCATTCCATCATCCAGGAGAGAGCATTGATTCTCTCTTGTGGCTGGGCTCAGGGCTGAAGGAGAACTGCTATTTGTTTCAGTCCTTGAAGTGAGAATAGTTTCACTGACTCAAAGAGAGTTCTGCTGCAAGAAGAGCAGCTGCTGAGAGCAAAGGCCCTGTGCCTGAGCCTACAATGACTCCTCCATTAACACTGGTGTGTTTCTAAATGTTTCAGTATTACATTTATTTTCCTTACAGGATAGAATTACGGCCTTTGCTGCTGGTATTCATCCGGCATAGCTTTAACCCTGTGAATCCTGGCAGGTCCCAAATTGTGAATGGAATACATACTATGGAGAATAAAGCTCTTTTCCTAATTATGTCAAAGGTCCAAACACTGGCAGTAGCAGTTATATCAAAGTACACCAGCTGGTGACCTGGAAACTCAAATGTGATGAGACCCAGAAAGAACAGATCTTCCAAGTGAAGGAGGGTATATGAACTATCCGTGCAATTAGTGACATATCAAAGCAGGCACTGAAAAACAATGCCCAGAGGATATCCAACCAGGCTGGATCTTACCTTCAATTGCAGAGCCAATGGTGAGATCAGAGGGCCCATAGTACGTGGCATTTTCTGTAGTTGAGCCTGGTTTGGCAACTCTGGTCTTTCTTAAGTATTTGCCTCCAATGATACCAGAGTTACGGACTGGGGGTTCATAGATGCTGATCATGTCATTGGAGAGGAAATAAGAGAGGATGAAACGACGCTTTCTGTCCTCGGGATTTGGTGATTCCTAGAGGAAAGGTAGTGGCTTTGAAAAGAATATTGGAATTAGGTTTTTATTTCCTGGGGTGCTTAGGAGTACCTGGTAACCCACTTACAAGCACCCAGAGTTCATAGCTTTTTTTTTTATAGCTGAATGAACAAAGCACATGCTGTAGGCCAAAAGCTACAGATATGCTGACAGAGTGTAAGAAAGCCCTAGGAGGCATTAAATATCTGAATTTCAAAGGTTACATGCTCTAGTCAGGCTCTCAGAAGCAGAATCTGGGCTGCAGTGACCAAGTACATTCAGTGTTTCCACACACTGACTAATCCAAGAGAAAGGAATATCCTATATGGAATGATTCACCACAGAGAGACTGGCTGTAAAATTCAGTATTAAAGTTATACTTTTTATTATAATGAGTGCCTGAGAGAGGTTGGTGATGCTTTCAGCTCTTAGTCACAGGAAGACACTCCCCTGACACACCAGTAGGTTTACTTGCTTAGTTTAAAATTAAGTGGATCTGAACTCATCAGCTGTGACCTTTAGGAACTCCTGCACAATAGGGAGAAGAAATCAGCCCTTATTCACCCTGAGTGTTTGGAGAAGGCAGGCACCAGGCAGCACAGGAAATGCCATTGCTACTGCTGGATGTGCCAGAGGCTCCTTGCATAAACCCACTGTAAAACTGGCACAAATGCCAGGGTCTGAATGCCATTGTTGTGGGTGGAAAGCACCATCTCCGTGGACTCTCCACCTTCTCTGCTGGCAATTGGCTGCTCTGCTAGCACAGCCCTTTGCTGGCCACTGCAGCCAGGACTAGCCTGAAGAAGGAGAGGCGCTGGGAGCTAGCAGCGGAGAGGCAGCAAGCTCACGCTTGTGGCAGCGGTTGAAGGCAGGCAGGGGCACAGTGCCCAGTTGCAATGCTGTTTCAGTTAGGGCCATCTGTCATGTGCTGATGTCAGTAAGAGTTTTCCCATAAATGGCTGTGGTTTTGTAGCATGTCTGTTTTGTATTTTCTGCCTGTTTTTTTCTACCTTTATGTGCTACTAATTGTCACAGCAAGTACACAATAACCCAACGGCATCCCCTGAGGGGCACTCATGTTGGCTTGAGGAACTCTCTTTTCCCACCAGCACAGAGGAGAATTTGCAAACAGCCTTGTCTGAGCAGGCTGTTCCTCCCATCCTTCTGACTCTACAACATAAGCTGGCACTATACCACCAAAGAAAGCACTTACCAGGGCCACCTCGTATCGCAGCACCTTGTTGTCATTCTCTAGCATCTTAATTACATCTTTCCGGGGAGGTTTTGGAAGCAGAGAAAAGCAGTTCTGAAGGGTGTCTTCAAGGATGCCAAAACCATTATAGGGAGGAATTATCTTCATCCAGAGGACATATCAAGCATAAACAGTTGAAATTAAGAACAAGACAATGTTTGCAAGACAACTTATCAGAAACCATCTGTTTGGAAAGAAATCTGTGACCAGATAGCAATAGCTGTGACATCCTGCCCAGTAGAGATGTTACTAGCCTGTCCATGTGTTGGACCCCTTTCTTATAGAAAATATTCAAGAGAATTAAGAAAACCTGAAATTCAGAAAGCCAGGTAATTTGTTTGAATAAAGAGACTATGGCTGTACTAATAACTAAATCTTCCTGTGCACGGGAACTTAATCATCTGTATGGTCACACTGTTAACCTAATCCCCATCATGTTTGTGGTTTGTAGGCCATCTAGCACTCAAAACCATTCCTAGGCACAGTCTGGGAAGTAACAATGGCTCTGATCATCCCCAGGAGGCAGTTTGGACTTGGCAACTCTGTTTCGGACGGTGAGGGAGAGTTTAGTAGTATGAAGCAGCCAGACTGTGCCACTTGGCTTCCCAGCCAAAACTGAACCTTGACACTGTTTAATGTTCTAGTATACATTACCAGAGTTCTTTCTATCACTATTAGCAAGTGCTTTGTCCTTTACAATACTGGAAATCAATGGTTTCAGAGGACTTTCATTTTTATATCAGTGATGACCATTCTTGCTTTGCCTTTTTTGAAGTTACTCACTCTTTTCTTTAAGCTGAACTTGTTTCCTACAGGTTCTTATTAAGCTGAACCTATGCTTTACTATAAAAGCTTATACGAGCTGCTTTCTTCTCTTCCTTCCTTTGAGAAACTGTTTGCAGTACCTGTGGAACTTCCTCAGGTGGTTTCTTCTTTATTTCCACTGGCTGGAAGTCAGTGATGCCAAATTTGTCACGATAGAAGTTTCGGGTGAACTCATCACAATCATAGATGAAGAAATTGCGTCCAAGGAGGGTGGTAGATTTGCCGACAGCAAAATCTTTAGCTGTGTACCACTCAAGTACCTCCTGATCAGAGATCTCCATCACACACGTTGGGAAAGTCTCTAAGGACGAGAGAGCAAAAGGAAAAATAAGGTAATCAGGCAGATATTCACATTTCCTATTGAAAAGCGATATAAAAGCAAACTGTATAAATAGCTCTGGGGAGCTGTTGGTACTGCTGTCCTGCCACCGCTTCCCAAGAGATAAAGAATTTAGTGATTATTTTAAGAACTTAACTTTTCTTTGACCAAAACTGATGACACTTGTAATGTTCTCAGCAAAAATCCTCCAGACTCAGCGTACCTCTGACACAGCCACCACGTATGTGTCTACCCACCAAGGCCCTTCAGCACAGAGAGATGTGCTGGTCAATCTAAACTTACTTTTCTTGTCCACAAAGGTTTTGGGTAAGCGTTGGCGTCTTATCAGCACTGGGAATGAGTCTCTACCATCATTTTGCTTGTGGACTTCCCGAACCTCCACTGTGTCATCTGCCAAGTAGTAATGGATGATGTAAGGCCGATTCTCACCAAAGATGCTGTTAGTGTCATCCCACATGGCATAGAAGCGAAGGACCTGGGGTGGAGAAAAAAGAGGCAGAGAAGACAAACAAAGACTAGAATTATTAATGCTTTGTCCAAATGAAGTGACTTAAAATTAGATATTAGGAAAAAATTCTTTACTATGAGGGTGCTGAGGCCCTGGCACAGGTTGCCCAGAGAAGCTGTGGCTGTCCCATCCCTGGCAGTGTTCAAGGCCAGGTTGGATGGGGCTTGGAGCAACCTGCTCTAGTGGAAGGTGTCCCTGCCCGTGGCATGTGGGTTGGAACGGGATGAGATTTAAGGCCCCTTCAACCCAAACCATTCTGTGATTCTATGAAATGGGTTAGGTGATTGGAGGCATCTCACCAAGCTTCTCTATCAGGTCCAGAAGAGCCAAGCCATTGCACTGTGGAGACTGGGATGATTCGGCTGCTGAGGCAGCAGTGGGAAGGGCAGCAGTAGCCTGGAGAGTTGGACAGGCTTGGCTTACCTTGACAACAGTGAGTGAGAGAGAAAGAGTTTATGCTAAGACAATAGATTTAGTTCAGGAAGAATAAGGAAAATGGGGGGGCGGGGGGGAAGTGATTAAAAAGCAGCAGAAAATAATTGCCCAGGAATGAGTGGGGAAGTAGTCTTAAGGGAAGTGATTTTTATAACGAAACTTAATACAGTAAGACAGAATTTTGTTTTGACTCTTAAACCTCTTAGAGGTTTCATGGCCAATTCTTCACTGCTGTTATGCCAAAGAAGGCAGAGAGGAATATACTTGTCAGTCCTGAGGAGGCTGCATTCACTGCAGGCCCAATCTTATTTCTGCTTAGTGGAAATATCATCTGTTAATGCCACAGAAATCAAACTCCTCACACTGCAGTGCTCAAGAGTTCCCCAAGGCACAGCTCCTAAACAGACAGCCCGATAGCAGACAGAGTTGGCCCAGCACAGACCTGAGTCACTAAAGCTAAACTGTCAGTAAAATGGCAGCCATGGCACAGCTTGCATCGACACAGCAAAACTGTCTGCTCCCCTCAAAACAGGGTGACAATATCCTAAATGCAACCGGATACAATCCTGGCCTGTGCTAATTCCTAGCTGATGGCCAGGAACTGTTTGACTGATAGCTGGCCAGGGACAACATGCAGAACTTGGGTCATGCCCTGCCCCTGTTTTATTTCCTAGTATAGATATGGTCTATAGGGTTTCTTACATTGTTGCTAGATGAAAAGGTGAAGATCCAGAGGAGCATAGAGGAGAGTGTTAGTCAATTGTGTGCACAAGGAGAATTCAATCAGACCAAGTGGCATTTGTATTTGTCTGAAACTGCCCACTCTAGCACCTGGCACTGGTGTTTTGGAGGAAGAGAGGAGTGGATGCAGCAGGGGTTTTGGTCATAGAAATGCATCTGGCTACAAACTTTCTGAGACAGGTAGCTTATCTCATCCCGACAGAAAGCAAGAGAGAAATGGAGGATTTAGAGCATAGGCTTTGCAATCCAAAGAGAAGCTGTTTACAAGGCACAAAGCTTAGGAAAAACATAAAAGATCTTGTTTCTCACTAAAGCCAAAAGAGGAGGAAATCTGGAATCTGTTCAGTGGAGTGAGGTTTTTTAGAATGAGTAAGGTTGCAGACATTCACAGACTCGGGTTTCAGTAACGGGCAGTCTGTAATGTGGGTAATCACTACCAGCTCTCTCACCTGCTTGTCGTAAGTCAAAAACTGTTTGAGTTGGTCAAAATCTGATGGTGTGATGTACTTGCGCACGGGCACCTGACGCAGTTCTGTGTAAGGATCAAAAGCCATTTTCTCTGGAGGGTTCACTTCAATTCCTTGGCTCTCCAGGAACTCCTAGGAAGGTCAACTGAGGTATTAATGGTGCCGAAAGTTCTGAAGGTAAGAACTGCAGGTTACAGATTGGCTGAGATGAGTGTTGCCAGACTACTGCAAGTTCATTCCTCACAGATCACTAGCCTGCAGAAGTATTAGTTCTAGTGCAAGAGCAAATAAAATGGAAGATGACCGAGATGTTTCTGTTCAAGCTCCTTCTTAGCTTTGCTTGTCTTTTAATTAATCAGGGCAGTCCTGTCCTCAATCCTAACTCAGACTTTACTTGAGCACAGTTTTCCTTCGCCTTAGGGCTTTAAATGTAGGGTCACTGTCAGTTGGTAAATGAAAAAGATTAAATTAGTGCCTAACTGCAGATGGAGTCAGTCAGAATTTGCAAGAGATCTAGGGCTCCCCAATGTGTGCACAGTGGAATTTAGTGTTACCCACACCAGGCCCACCAAGGCCCTTCAGGCCATAAGGATATGTGCCAGAGTGGCAGCGTCATTCCATCTTTCAGGAGAAGTACTTTTCCCACAGAGAGAGGGCAATCTGCTTGTTTATAAAGGGATCCTTTGCTTACATTGGATGCATCAACAAACTCTAGGGTATTACTTTTGAACTCACATCAGTCACCCAAAGCAACCTCTGAAGCCAACAGACTTCTTCCCTTTCTGGCCTTGGGAAGTGGCCCATGAAAACATTCAGCCCAGGAAGCCTCTATGTAAACATCTCCAACAGGCACATGAGATCACCCTGAAGATTCACAAGGCAGATTCACACTTTCAGGCTCACTATTCTCTGGTCTGGAGTATGCCAGTTACTGATAAACGGGCTATTGGCCTTGAGATACAGACCCACATAGCTGATTTCATGTTTTCCATGAACCAACCAACATTAACATGAGGACCAGCTCTTCATCTCCTGTGAACTGACTTTAACTGTTCTAGCAGAGCTGGCCCCACATGTTCTCAACAGCCACATATATACTAATATACGTCTGGGAACATTCCTGGGCACTGAGACCAACTGGCATGGAATAGCCTGCATCTACACTTCTCTCAGTCTCCAGGACAGGTTGGCTGCATGTAATTCACCTATCAGGAATGGTCCCTGGAGCATTCTAACTCCTGGACTGCTTCTGAGAATTGCTTGGAAGAATAGAATTATAGAATAGTAGTGGACCAGCACTGAGATTATACTGGGGACAATCTAGCAGGATAGCACTATATTGTATTTGTTACTACTTGTTACTGGATTGCTATTATCTCATTTACTGGTATAGAAATAGCCAGAAATAGAAAAGCGGACAATGAATATGCTCTCTTAGAAAGGTCAGTTCACACCACGATTCTCAACCCACAGATCATAACCTCTCTTCTGGCTTGGATGTAGATGGGTGCAGAGTTAATTACTGCGCTCCCTCCCCCTGTTTTTAGCAGAGGAGATATAAGTCAGAAAAGAGTTAGGATTAGTAGTTTCTCTCTCACATATGCACAATGTTTCATCTGAAATCTAAGCAGTTAAACACACTGAGATGAACTGAGAATTTGTATTGTAAAGAGAAGTCCTGAGAACAAAGGACAGGCTCCCAGAAGTCCTGAGGCAAAAGTACTGAGCAATTAACTCAGCAAATATCATACCTTGAACTCCCCATTTATCTGAAGAAAGAAGTCTTCACGAAAAGCAAAATGAAAGATTGTGAGCAACTATATTGTGAAAGCTATAGATGCAGACTACTGGACCCTAACAGGTCTGTCCACCTGTAACTCCTGTGATTCTTTTTGTCAGTGTTTCCTGTACAAGCAACACACCTGTGTGAATCGGTCACAGTCGACTATGCGGTATGTCCTGCCATACATGGTGATGTTTATGCCCCGATTCAGATCTTTCCAATGGTAATGTTCCCCATGGTCATTCTTGGGCACCCGGTGGCGTCTAATATGTTTGCCTTGAGGAATACCAGAGTTCTGCACAACAGGTTCTATGACGTACATGCTGTCATCTTCCAAATAGTAGTAGATACACACTTGGCGGATCCGGTAATGCTCTTCTGCAGAGAGAGGAACATCCTCCTGGAAATAGGCATCAAACTTCAAAATCTGCCAAAGGGATAATAAAGACAAAAAAAAAAAAAAAGGAGAGAGAAAAAAAAATCTTGAACACCACAATTAGGTTATTAAGACCAAAAATTTATTTGTAATTTGGCAGTGTGAAGTTATTGGATTGTAATCCATAAAATCATCCAAGCCAACTGTAGCCTAATTTGTGACTGGTGGAAGAGGCATCATGAGGGCTTATATCAAGATCTGCCCATTACAAGGTGTAAAAAATACAGCTTTTTCCCTCCTCCTCGATCACGTTGCTATTTCACCCACTGCCAGGTGTGTGGTTACTGATGGTAATATAGTTTACTGGCATGCATGACTTGACTTTTGTCAGCTTTGCAGACCCCGAGTTAGGGAAGCTATCAGGAGATTTTAGTAAAGAGTTCAACCACATCTGTGGATTTTTAAAAGCTGAACAGATTGTCTGAAGTAACATCTATTCAGCACTGAGAGCAAAGGCTACTATGTACTGGAGAAACAAGGACACAAATCAGCCAGTCAATCACAGTTCCTGTGCACGGCAGAAGTATGAGGAGTATTCACCCCAAGAACATTCAACACACCTAAGAGAATGTAGGTGGGCAATCAGGCCTTGCTTACCTAGAGGCCTGGGTAATTGAGTGATGGTAAAGCCAGCAAGTTCCTACCAGCCAGCAAAAGTACTTCAAAAGGGACCCTGACTCCCCTGAGCAGCATGGGGCCCCTGCTGCCACTGTGGCTTGAACGAAGGGGCAGAGAAGTATCTGGCAGATTAAACAGCAACATCTATATTACTCTGAAGGAACAGCCCCAGTAATTAACAGAGCACATCTGTTTCCCAGATTGTCCCACAGATGGGCTGAGAGTTGGCTGCAGACTGCCCTTCCAGGCTTGCCTGCATGCGCTCAGGTCTGCTGAGCCTTGCATGCTCTGCAGTGACTGCTCTCTCAGTGGCTGAGGCTGTAGTCACCAGCTTGCAGTCTGTGCAACTGGTGCATTTAAAATCCAAGGGTCAGTTTAGGACTGCTCTGAGCAGACACATTGCCACCTCCTAATCTGATATGATCACCAAAGCGTAACGCAGGAAGTATTAACAGAGCAGGACAGGCTGTAACACGCTGTGGTGACAAACACAAGCATAAATAGACAGACCACAGTTAAACCGTCTAACAGGGTCCCCATTGCAGACTGTCTTTTACAGTTTAAGCTCAGTTACAATCTCAATATAGTTTTGGAAACACAGACGGCTAGGCTGTGGCTTACAGGACAATGGTTGTATACTGAAGCTTTTTGGAGTTACTCAAACTTCTTTTCCAGTGCCTGCTGAAAGTGCTCTAGTGTAACTAGCAGGGAATGTCTTACATGGTTTACGTATTATAATCCTCCTCCCAAGCAAAGAAAGCCTCTTTCAGTCTGGGGTTCAGCTGTCTCTGACTAAGGGCTGTGGCATCTGAAAACTGCTGTACGCTGTCCCATGCACCCTGGAGCTGACTGTTTATGTCTCTGAACTTGGCCAGCAATATTCCTGGAATAAGCTTCTTTATACCTTTTTGTCAAAAGCCACGTGTGCTGGAATGAAGCCTGAAGGTGGAGCCCGCTTGACTTTTCCATAGGTCAGTGTGGGTCTCTTGCTGGATAATTCATCTAATTCAGCTTGAGAAAGCTGATTCACATACAGTCGCTCCCCACCAGACCCCACTGTTGGCAGCCAAGAAAAGGCATATCCATTTTTGTAGCCCAGTGTCTGGGACCGATGAAAACATGTTTTCTGCAGGAGGAAATCCAGCTGTTAAAATACTGCATGCACTTGGTAGATACAGCTACTGAAAGCACATAAAAACCAGCAAAGAAGTGTAATATCCAGAATTCCCCCTTACTCCCTCCCCCCCAGTTTTATTAGAACCTACTACAACAGTTATTTACAATCAGATTTTAGATCAAGAAGGCTGAAAAAGCCAATAAGTGGCTGGAGGAACAAAGCAGCAGGTGAACTCAAACCCTTGCACTGCCAAAGACTCCCCAAGACTTAAATCACTTAATTGTCCTATTGCCATCATTCTCAGTGCCTAGAATGGGGTAACAGCACTTCATCTGCCCCTGTATTTACTTCACAACCTCTTTGTTCCCTACTCTGTGTTACAGCAATACAGAGCACCATGGGACCTCACTGTGTTACTGCCTTATGGTGCTCCCTTGACTATTACACATTGTGTACTCTGTGTGTTTTCCACTGCTATTTATTTTTTTTAACCCTCTCTTGGGGATGTTACTCACAGGATTTTCTTCACTGGGCTAAATAAAGGTGTATCATGCTCACAGAACTGCAATTATGAAATGTACCAAAGCACATGAGCTGTTTCGCCATCCTTTTCCACAGTCCATGCAAGGGTCACACATTAAATAATCACAACCACAGTGTAAGATCTTATAGTAGATTAATGAGGAGCCTGGTTAAGATGAGGAGAATTCTATCTATGTGGGCACTGTATAATGCTGACTATAGGATTCACCTGTTATTTTTTTGTTTTGTTGGTTAATCTGGGTTTTGAGCTTCTTTGCTATCTGCCTCATGCCAGCTATTGAGCCATTTTTCAGGCTAAATAATTATCCAGATAGCACAGGAAGGTCTCTGCTTTGCTTAAGGACACACAAGAAGAAAATGTCAGAGCTGTGAATAAGCCCTGATCTCTGTCAGTCCAGTTCTGTTCTTCAGTACTGAAAATTAGGATCACACTTGAGTGACCCCAAGCGACTTGATGTGCTGTACCATGCCTGGTATCTCACCTGCAATCCGGAAAGCATTTGAAATCATGCATGCCTGGCTGGTCCCACTGGGCTTTCAACACTTAATGCTCCAGAGAAAGCAGCAGAAATTGCAAGTCCTTCAAAATAAAATCCCTGACTTTACCTTGACTTTTGCCAAGTAAAACAGAGTTGTACGCATTTCTAGTGCTGAAGGAACAAGCTTCAGCTCCTTTTCCAGACACAGACTTGCAACTGGTCCAAAGTTAGGCATTTGAACCACTTCTTCTCCACCCCCTCTCTCACCCCCCATGGTTAAGCCTCTAATCTTATTTATACACTCCAAGGCCCTACTTGAATTTCACATAATTGCCTGTTTTCTCTTCAAACTGGTACTACAAATCTTGCAGTGCTGTGGAGAGAGCAGTTAGGAAAACAGATTCAGGTGAAAACAAGAGAGTATACTGAAGACCTGTTAGCAGAACATCTTACAAACATTTGCCTTGCCCCAGAACTGCCATTTCCTTCTGTTAAGTAAATACAAAACGAAAGCTGTGGGAAAAATATTCAAGGAAAACCAGGAAGTTAGTCTTTCAATCAGGCAATATCAGTGTTTGTCAGAAGTACACAGGCTTTTAAGGGCCCACAGTTGCTTAAAGAAAACACCTCATAAATTCATAAGACTCTGGAGTCGATAAGCTCTCCGAAGAGAGCATGGATGCCAGATAACATCTCACAGTACCAGGTGACTAATGCAAATTTAAAAGGGAAAACCCAGAATGTAAACTCCTAATCTCAGTTGCTGCAAGTCCATATCTGAAGAAATTCCACTGAATTAAGTCGTCCTTTTTGCCAAGTATATAACACTTCATACAAACACCATTCCCCCTCCCAGTGTCTCTGTTTCTCTGTCACATTAGCACTAAGCAATAACAATACTATCTTATTTGAACACAGAGGTTTTCTTCAGCACTTCTTGGCGTTCACTTGGAAAACAAGCATTGCAGTGCCCATTTTATAGACTGGGAAACTGTGGCGAAGTGAGTTGATGGCACTCACTGAGGTTCATCCTGAGGAACCCTGCAAAGCCATTTCTGGAGTCCAGATCTCCTTAAAGCATTGCCAACAGTTCAATACCTCAAGTTACTCTAAAATAACGATCTGCTCTGCTAAGTCCCGTGGGTGTTTCTTACATACGCAGAGTGCTGCTGAAGTCAATAGAAGCATTCACATGACTAAAATGAGCAAGATTTTACTGATAGAGGAAATAGTATTTTGCTAGGGGCAGAAATTTGCATTGCATATTTCCAAAATGTTATGAATTATATTGAGAAAATAATATTATTGAGCTGAGAATAATTCTGAGATAACCTTTATTACTGCTTTGATTATTCGCTATGAGTAAATGACTCAACTTACTGGTGAAGAACTCAGTCATCACTGACTTAGGGGGTAGTTTGTTGCTAGAAGGCACCACTAAGACTTGTACAGTGACAATTTAGCCTTAGGTAGCCCTAATCCATGCATAAGCAGAATAAAGAAAAGAGAGGGTGATATTTAGGAAAACTGGGTTCCCACAAAAGCATCCAGAATGATCTGAACTGGGTTTACCAAAGCCCATTATGGCACAGTCCTTGTCAAGAGCACATCTGTCTTCAGTAAACTCTCTTGTTTTCACCTGAATCTGTTTTCCTAACTGCTCTCTCCACAGCATTGCAGGATTTGTAGTCTATAGTGCCAGTAGAATCAAACAATGGTTTGGGTTGGAATGAACCTTAAAGCTCATCCAGTTCCAACCCCCTGCCATGGGCAGGGACACCTTCCACTAGACCAGGTTGCTCCAAGCCCCTGTGTCCAACCTGGCCTTGAACACTGCCAGGGATGGGGCAGCCACAGCTTCTCTGGGCAACCTGTGCCAGGGCCTCAGCACCCTCACAGGGAACAACTTTTTCCTTACATCTTATCTAAATGTACCCTCTGACAGTTTAAAGCCATTACCCCAATATCAGCACTGGTCTAAGCAACACAAGACATTATCTTCCAAAGGGAGCTATCAGCTGAAACAAAGCTGGGAAGAAGTCGGGGAGTGTTGGTTCTCATCTGTGGTACTGCTTCCTTAAAAGGCTACTGGAAGGATTTGGGGTTATCATCAGATCAGTGTGTGGGCCACTGGAAATGGGAACTGATACCATTTGGGTATCAATTCAAGTGCAGGGGGATGAGGATGAGACTACTTCTTCCAAGGAACCTGGGAGCAGCTGAGAGGGTCTCACTCCCTTGGTCCTGGAGGCTGTAGTGTGTCAGTTCTGTGGAGGAACACCAGTTCTCAGAAGATGATCAGGTTCTCAGGTTCCAGAACGTTAGTTCTCTATGGGCTATCAAAGATTCAGTTCTGCAGGCAATACTGGGAGAGTATTTGTGGAAGTATCAGAGTTTTGGAGGAGGGGTATCAGGAGAGTATTAATAGCCCAGGAGATTGGTGACTTCAGGGTGTATCTGTACCTCTGAAGATGGTGGGTGGGTCTGGGACATAACTGTATTGGGATGGTTTTGAGGGATTAATTCCTAGTGGAGAGCTGCTTGAGGTTTGGACAGTGTTGCTGCTCCTGGGTACATCAAGAAAGTTGAGGGTCTATCAGGTGAGTTTATGGGTCCTAGTTTTGGTGGTATCAGAATAAGTAGCAGGTTCAGAACATATCTCCTTGGGAAAACTGAGATGGTTCACAGAAACAGCAGCTTTCCTGGGGAAATCATATTTCAAGACTGCAAAGTGAGTTGAGGGATATGCTTTCCCTTGGGGTATGACATGAACTGGCAGGGGAACCATTAGATGGATTCAGAGGTACTGGATTCCCATGGGATGGGTTTGCAGATAATAGTTCTGCAGTTACAGAGAAAACTTGTGGGATCTCAAATGAAGATGGTGGAACCTACCTACCTCTCCAAAGCTATCAGGACATTTTCAGAGGTTATCAGATGGGTGCAAGATGCCATGGGTTCTTAGGCACAAGTTTAAAAGCACCAAGTCTCCTGAACAGTGGTCTCAGGGATGACTGGTCCCTGAGACTTAGGGAGTACCAGGTCTGCTGTGGCTGGGGTCTGCTATGGCCAGGACACCAGCTGGGTTCAGAGGTCCTCCAGAAGTGAGTTCAGCAGACAATTGTTGGCTTTGGGAAAAAACAGGTCCCCTGAGAGAGAGATCAGTAGGTATTAGGTCTGCAGTGGAAGCTCCAAATGAGTTTACAGGGCACCAGGTCCCTTGAGGTGTGCCAAGTTTGATGCATTCCAGGTTCCCAGGACGTGGGTTCATAGGACACCAAGTCCCCTCAGGGATATTAGCTGTGTTCAGGAGGTACCAGACCTCTTAGGGGAATTAGAGGGTGTCTGAGGGGATAGGAGGTTCCCTCATGGTGGGTTCAGGGGGCAATTTGTCCTCTGGGGGAACGTTAGGCTCATTAGTGTACCAGGTCTCCTCGGGAGTTAAAGGAAAGTCTGGGGGGCTCTGAGTTAAAGGTGTCTTCAGGGGGTCCC